ATATACATTGTGCATCTCAGTATTGAAAGATAGAAGCTGATAGATCTTAGTTGTAAAGCATGCAGCAAAAATATTTACAAAGCAACATCGTATTTCAGACGGATGCGACCGTGACAGTTGCTATCAAAATGGGCATTGCGTAGATTATGCCGACGAACCGCTTGGCTTCAAGTGCTATTGTCACCCTGGCTATTTCGGAAAGAGATGCGAATTAAGTAAGCAACTTCTTTGTGGCAGTTACTATGGTCCTTTGTAGATAACAAGAAATAGTTATACACAGCCAAATGTTAGAAAGCATGTTTACTATTGCAACAATACCAGCAGATATGCTTCATTTAATACAATTTATCCATGAGCAATGTGTCTTCTTCTACATGTAGGTGATTTATTTTATTATTTTTTTATTTTTAGTTTTTTTTTCTGCAAAATGAAGAGTGTGTCATTTTCGTTTGATGACGTGGGCTGATCCAGTGTTCACAACATCATCAACATCTTATTCTGAAGAGAAATAAAAAGACTGAGTAAAAGGACACAAAACGGTGTCAGGTGGAAATTCTGTACAAAATGGATTCCATAGACGTTAGTTTGCCCTGCCTTAGTAAATCCTCAAATTATAAAAATTAAAATATCTCAACTGTAAGAGCACGCTAAGCTTTTTATAAGCCTTGCAATATCTTCATTTCAGCTTCGTGCAACGAATGCTGGAATGGCGGAGCATGTGTATTTGATACTACCAAGTCGCAACATTTGTGCATTTGTCGCAAGGGTTATTACGGAACAGCGTGCGAATTAGGTAAGCCATACTTTCTAATACTGCATACATTGCGTATTCCAGTATTGAAACATGACAGCTGATAGATCAAAGTTGTAAAGCATGCAACAAAAAGTTTTACAAAGCAAAGTTAGCAGTTGGGATGGATTTAACTGCACCGGTACGTCTTAGGTGGCATTCAGAAAAGTCTACAAACTAGTCCGTGGGTCATATATGGCCAACCCAACTGAATACTTCACCCTAATATATTTAGTGTCTATCAGTAGATTAGACGGCCCTACCCCAAATTGCACCGGTGCAGTGTGAGCAAAACAGACATGAGCGAGTTGAAGAGTTAATGCAAACATAATGGATTTCTAGTTGTAATGTATAATCTCTGTGACAAGAATATTTTTTTAATTTGCAATTCTGTTTAGAAATAATAACTTGAGCAATTCGACTTTGGGCAATGTCTATACCTGTGGAATATAATCAATAATTTGGGTAAAAAAAACTGTTAATATTACATCAAGATATGTGCATAATATAAGTCTATATATAAGTCTGTTCATATAAGTTTGTTTATTCTGCGTTGCTCAATATTTGATATGGGAATATGTAAATTTTTTTTTAATATTTCAAAAATTACGAGGAGCTCTAAAATGTTATTATGTCTGTTATAAGTACCGGGGTATTATCAATTTCATCTTATCATTTGTATTAAAAACTAAAACTCCGAATAAATTTGCAAAAATCTTTATCAGTTTGGTAGCTGGATCATAATTAAAATTTATCAAGCACAAGCCGCAAATAAAATTCATAATGTTAGTTGACCATTGTGGGACTGTGTGAGATCAACTGCAATGACTTTAATTCTTTTTATATTGGTAAGACAGGTAGACAGTTTAAGACCAGGGTTAGTGAACATAGGAAATCAGTGAATGTAGACAATACCAGCTGTACCATTTCTAAACATGTACAATGTAACAGACACAGGGCAGACTGGACTTCAACCAAGATTCTTGAATCCAAGTCTTCTGATAGCCTACATAAGATACTAGAGAATATCAACATCAGTCGAACCAGTCATCCATGAATAAGGTTGGGAGGTCGATCTACCTGACATTACGTTAATTATTGGTCACTGAGTAAAAGCCTACGTCCAGGTTCGTCGAAAGATAACAGTGTGAACGTTTTCTCGGCTTGTGTTTGATGATTTTCATTTATGACTTACTAAATTTGTTTTTATATTACTGAATGCACAATGTGCTCTAAAAAACGGGTCAAGGTGTCCATTGAATATGTTTCTTTTCTTTCAGAATCGACGAAATAAACACCGGGGAAACGAAAAAAATGCAAGACAGAATACAGAGTTATTTGATTAATTTAATAACCATTTGGACATTCATTATATATGGATTAAGTATATCAATTGGAAATAAACTAATTTGGGCATTATGTTTGGTTCTTTTTACTGCTCCACAATTTGCTGATCCACATTTGTTTTGATATTTATGATTCGTAACATACAGTAGAAATAATAATTATGTTTCCGTTGTACGACGTTTTAAAAGCGTCAGAATGTTTTAATCCCTATCCTGTGAATAGAAGGGGGCGGACAAACAATGGAAAGCCGTCTAATCCCTTCAAAATTCGAACGCAAAAACACAATAGTTTAGGCGTAATAACACACAATACCTTAGGCGAGTGAACCCCATGACGCCTGTTTCTGTGGTCCAGCGCGAGCGCGACAATCCGCTGTGACTAGGTGTAATTAACAGCAGGATACATCAGCCAGAAGGTGCCCATTGTTTGTTGCGGCGATAGGATTATAGCTTTAAGATGCTAGAACCCATGCTAACGCGTGCCACTCCCGTGGCCACCTATCCTTATGTTCACTAGCTTGGCACGCGCAGCTGATCATGTTTTAAGTGTTGCAAGATAACTGCTAGTTTAATTTAGTATCAGTTATTTAATTCAATATGAAGTGTTCTGTGGTCAAAAATTGAATTTGATAAACATGCATCAGCATCGTACATCAGCATGATCAACAAATCACCCCGTCTCAAAAAGTTTAAAGATGCTCCGTACACAAATTTTCATCATCGCGACCTGTGTAAAAATAGATTACTGTTTAGAAATAACAAAGAAAGAAACATTATTAAAACAATTTATTCACATTACAAGCTGACGTGTTGCCTCAATTACTACATTAAGTTACATTTTATATAAAATAATAGAGCGAATCCGTAAAAGGATAATAATAGAAAATCTTAATAAATAAATAAATAAA